GTGAGGGCATGTACCTTGTATTGGCGATGGTCTGCATGGGCGACATCTTCAAGTACTTCGGGCTGCCGCTGATGTCAACAGTTGCATTGTCTTTTGGTAGTCTGTAGCAGCTGTGTAGGAGTAGGCTGAGCGCTGAGCGCCAAGTGTGAGTGTGAAGGAACTGGACTCTTGTGTTGGGAGGAGAGAGTATGCTCTCCATGAACATTGGTTTTCAGCGCTACGAACCTCCATTGGTGTATTATTGGTGCAATGCTGCTCTCTGGACACGGTGTGACGATTTGGCTTGCAATGTGATGGTGTGATCTGGAACTGTCATCTCGCTGTTGCTTATTTTCCTTGCAATGTCGAAAGAACAGTCCTAAACCCTTTTGTCCTCAGAGAAGTAAGAGTGTTGGAATCATGGCCAAAAACAATCTTCAAAATAGATATGGCGATTCAAGACTTGGAATCCAGCATAGTGGGCTTGGACACCAGACAGAAGCAGAAGTCTCAAAAGGAATATCCCCATCCAGGGTCAAACTGGGATACAACTAACTCCTCAAGACAAAGGATCCTGACCCAACGATCACGAACAGATGGCAGAAGTTAATAGGTCAGGACGCTAGTTAGATCCCACAAATACCATGGCAAAAATTCAAGTCAATCCGGCCGGTCAAAATCATAAGCCTCCAATGTCTCATCTCATACGTGGCTCTACCGATTAACCAGTGGCTGCATAGCAGAAGAAGTAAGAATGACCCCAACAGTTCAGATTAACCAGTGGCTGCATAGCAGAAGAAGTAAGAATGACCCCAACAGTTCAGATTCATGTGCGGTATAATCAGAAAATGAACCAGAAGATATGATACATTGCCTGATATGATGTAGAGAGGTGACGGAATATTGGGCAATGGCCTCGGATCTCTGGGCTTCCCTCTTCTCGACTCCCCTCCCTGAACACCCCATCCAACTCCTCCTATGGACTAGCGTCCCAGCTCAATTCCACAAGACAGAGAAAACGTGGTTCGGAATGATCAGAAAGGTAACACTGTTGCAAGGAAAATGAGCAACAGCGAGATGACAATACCAGATTACACCATCACATTGAAAGCCAGATAGTCACACCGTGTCCAGAGAGCAGCATTGCACCAATAATACACCAATAAAGGTTCGTAGTACTGAAAACCAATGTCAAGGAGAGCTTTCTCTCTCCGCCAATAACACAAGAGTCCAGTCCCTTCACACTTCTACTTGGCGCTCGGCGCCCAGCCTACTCCTACACAGCTACGATCAGCCTACTAATTGACAATGCAACTGTTGACATCAGCGGCAACCCGAAGTACTTGAAGATGTCGCCCAAATGCAGATCATCACCAATACAAGGTATGTGCCCTCACATCATCATCATCATCATCATCATCATCCTTCACCCTTCCCTGACTTTACACCCACGTCTTCCTCCCTTACACCCGAAGACCACTCATGCGCCTCACTGTAGTCCAAGCACACCAGCTATGGTGGCTGGGCTATGGCGCTGCCCTCAGCAGCGCCCTTCTTCCCTGCACGACCGCACGTGCTGCACCTCGCCTCTCAGCCCCAGCAGCAGCCCACGAGCCTTTGCTCCAGCAGTGCTGCTGCTAGCATGCGAGTGCCTGAATGAGGCTGAGAGTGGCGAGCTCTTTCCTATATGGAAAGAGCCTGCCTGCTTCGCAGCCTGGCTGGACTGGGCCTGGGCCCGAAGCTTCCGGTAGGCCCCAGGATGCTGTGTGCTACTTTGCAGCTACTGGGCCTCTTTCGGTTGGGCCTCCCAACTGTCAGCGTATGAGGCTGCGTTTCTCGCCCAGGGCCTGCATTCTTTGGAAAGGCCCAGAAGGCCGTGGAAATGTCTTGGTTGCTCAGCGTGTGTTTTACTCAACCAACTGGCGCGTCGCAACTGCCTGGACCCCAAATATGAATTTGACAGTCAAAGGCCTCTTGTGATAAGTTAGGCCCGCCTTCACTTAGGGCGGGCTTCATTGCAACCGGGGCCCCTTAGGCCTGCCGAGGACCCAGATCCTTGCACTGTGATCCATCTCGAAGGAAAGGGGCTGCAGAACCATTGAGGGAATCTCAACTCCAAGGGATAAGGTATGGGCCGAGACAAGGACCTTGATTTAGGCAGAGATTCTTTGTAAGTGGCATGGGACTAGACAGTCCATACCAGATGACGAAGAGCAACAGAGAAGAATAAAGGCAAAATTCACTAAGGTGTGGCTTGCAGGGGGCAAAGCAGCAGAGATAAATGACTTTCGCATACGGTGGAAAGACTCGGTGGAGAAGGCAGAGATCCCAACCAGCTGAAGGACAAGATCCATCACAGGCCACATAATATTGACGGGCAAATTGCAAGATTGCATCTTCCGTAGCTTCTGTTACCTTTCTTGCTCTTTATCATTTATCTGACAGGTTCATGCAGTGGACCCGAGAGGGAAGGTGGAAGTAAGGCAAGCTGACAGTCAATCCTCCACGATGCTGGAGTAATCAAGGCTGGTCAGGGTTCCTTCGGCCGGACGGAAGGAAGCGTGTGTGGGTTTCATGATGTAATATTTTGTTCAAGACTTTCCGGTGGAATAGGAACTGGACTGATGATCCCCAGAACGGAAATAGAGCCAGGGCCATAAGGACCTGTTTTATGGAAAAAAAGGAAGATTCCACAGAAGAAGTATTGGGATTGTCCAGATTTTTGCTGTCGATTGGGGAGGTGCACAGATTCAAAATTCTGCTGTCAGGTAGGAAGGTGCACTATGGTATTCGGATTTTCACGGACGGGTAGGAAGGTGCCTAGTATTTTCAAGGAAGGAAGGTGCATCATAGTCATGGAATTTTTCGCTGTCAGGTTGGAAGGTGCACAGGAGTAATTGGATTTTCACTGCCGGGTGCGAAGATGCACAGTAGCGTTCATATTTTACTGTCAAATGGGAAGGTGCATGGTAGTATTTGGATTTTCGCTGTCGGATGGGAAGGTGCATTGCTGTTGGGTAGGGTAGTATACAGATTTTGCAGTCTTGTGGGGAGGTGCAGTGCTATCAGATTTTTGCAGAGGGGTAGGAGCACTCTGATTCTTGCCATCGGGTAGGAGTACCCAGCGTTTTGCTGTCCGGTGACAAGGTGCATGGTAGTACTCAGATTTTTTGTTGCCGCATAGGAAGGTGCATTTAACATTCAGATTTTCTATGTGGGGTAGGAATACTCAGACTTTTGCTGTCGGGTGGGAAGGTGCATAGCCATACTCAGAATTTTTGCTGGCTGTGGGTATGGTCGGTCCTTGCAGCCAAAAAAACTACCAGGTGGAAAATCCGAAAATGCCAAAATGGTCGTTTTTTTTTTTTTTTTTTGGATCTAAACTTCTAAAGCACTTTGTTTCCAAAAAAAAAAAAAMAAAAAAAAAAAAAAACTGCTCACAACTGAACAGCGTCCAAGTCACATACTCCCAGCGACCGGCCCTGATTTAGCCCTCATCTAGCCCTTTTACAGACTTGATAGCAAGTTTATACAGACACCTAACTTTACAGTGTTTACACCTTCTTGCATATGGCTTCCTTGGCCTTCACATAGACCCATCACCGCCATTTCTTCACAGGAGTGCCCCAACGATGCACATATTATATACATCTATGTCGAGCATGTGGGACAGACAATGCAGAGGAGGAGTTTATTTAACAGCTGCTACCAAAGTTTAGCAATGTGTGATCCGACACACTTACGCGTGCCTCGTAACAATCTAGAACGGCAAAGTCATGCATCGAAAGGCTCCTCTTCATGCTTTAGGAGAGCAGTGACAATTTGGGCTTGTGGTACAGGAATAACATACCTTTTCGATCGACATAGTGGACACTCATCCAGACGATTGTTCTCCCTTTTTCAGCATGCCAGGTTGATACTATCTGCATTTCCCATGCGTCAAACACTTTGAGGACTGCCAGTGAAGCCACATCAAGCTGGTTATCTCCAACAAAACCCATTTCCCTTGTCATATTGACAACGCCAGGATTTCCCTTTTCATCAGTAGGCAGCTCACTTACAGACTGACCATGGCTGTCCAACTTGTCCTTTGTCCCGAAAAGCTTAGTTCCCATTTCTTTCCCTTTGTCTCCAGAAATACCATTCCCATCACCTTCATTCTTGCAGCCATTCTCGAGGATGTTTTCGAGTCGAGCCCGTGAAGAATCTGCATCAGTGTATCCATCCAGACCACCACGAGCTTCGCCATCACCAGGGTTCCTTGGGCCCAGCAAACTCTTTGTGAGTTGTTCGTGAACTCCTCCTTCTGTTGTACAGGTGGCTCTTCTCATGAATTTGAACGAGGGGGGTTTAGAACGAGAAGGGGGCGTTGTGCGAGAAGGAGAACTAGACCGAGAAGGGGAAAGCGAACGTGACGAAGACGGTGACAATGAACGAGAGGAAGATGGTGAAGATGGAGATAATGACCATGGTCCAGTCATTTCTACCACTCGCTGCCCTAGCTTCCTTACCCCCCCACCTCCTCCACCACCGCCGCCACCTCCAGCATTGCCTCCTCGCATGGCTCCATCCCCAACAGTGACACCCTTGCTGCCACTGTCTAAACTTTTGCCAATCTCCTTCCCACCCACAGTATCAGTCAAGACCTCCTCATATAGGCTTGTTCCCAAACTTGATGTAGAAGCTTCCATGTTACTGGGATAATTTGTACTGTACTTCCCACCCGAAATCTTCTCTGCACCCGAGACCATCACCATTTCACCATCAACTCCTATCTCTGGCCCTTTTTTGCTGCTACGTCTTGTCTCCCAAGACGGAGAAGTCCAATAGCTTGTGCTCGCTTCCGGTGACAATCGATCAAGCATCTCCCCAGACATGGCAATTGGTTTGTCGCCAGCATCGATGTAATTGATGGCGGCTACACCATTGACAAATCTATCAACAGCTTCGGCAGTGATTTCTGATGCTGCCATGGCAGCATGTTCTTTCAGGAACTACAGTAACACCAAACAGAACACTCACGCACACAATACAAACAGCAGTTGTCAGCATTTAAACGGAAGAAAGGATTGTAAGAGCCATATATAAAGAAACAGGAAATGAAAAAACTCATGCACACAAAGCAAATGACATTCGTCAGAAACTATTATAACAGAGAGGAACACAGGGCAACGATTCCTCCTCTTATCCTGTATTCTTTTCTTCCCTCACCTTCTTTAAGCGAATAGCGGAACTTGCGTGACGCTCCCACATCCACGCGAACCGCCAGTGTTGGGAACGTTTTCGGGTCCTGTGGGCGGGTCCAGGCGAAACCGAGCGGCGCGGCGGGGCACGTTTTTTGGGGCGCGTTTTTGTTGTTTGAATGCGGCCACTTTTCCGGGTTGGGGGGCGGTGTTTTCGGGACGGGGGATGGCCGACGGCGAGCTCGGTGTTTTGACGTTCGGCGTGTTTAGGTTCACTTGCGAGAGAGAGAGAGAGAGAGAGAGAGAGAGAGAGAGAGAGAGAGAGAGAGAGAGAGAGAGAGAGAGAGAGAGAGAGAGAGAGAGAGAGAGAG